AAACATATCGTGATATGAAAAAATCTCATATTGCCCAGCTCTACCACCAACATTCTACAATATACAGGCAGATGTTCCGTGAGCCTTTGTAGCTGCGTTCCAAATCATATTTTTAAAAGCGTCTTTCCTTCAAAGTTATACTTCGCCTTCATCTTTGCTGGTGAAAAACACTGTGGTTACAAAGGGATGGACATGATAAGCAACAATAATCTGACTGTTGTGTTTACACGATGCTCGGTTAGTATTAGCATTGCATAGAAAATATCCTCCTCCACCACCAGCCCAAACTGTCGATACAAAGCAGGATGGATCCATGCTTTCATGTTGTTTACACCAAATTCTGACCCCTCTATCTGAATGTTGAAGCAAAATCAAGACTAATCAGACCAGACACCATTTTTCCAACCTTCTGTTGTCCAATTATGGTGAGCCTGTGTGAACTGCAAGCTCAGTTTGCTGTTGTCAGCTGATAGAGTGCCACCAAGTGTGGTCTTCTGCTGCTGGTATTCTAAACGCATTAGGTTTCTGCCATGTTATTAGCTCATTAACAAGCATTTGAACTGTGGCTGGAGTGCAGTTCATCACTATGAGCTGTACCACAGTACTGCAAACTGCCCAGTTAAGCCTGCACCTGCTGTCAGTATAACCTTCATAATCACTTCCAAGTTTGAATTAACTTCAGCAACACCTGTCCAGATCCACACTCTGAATGAAAAAAATCCAACATAAATCAGGACGTTACATAGGTAAGCTTTAAATTACCAGCTGATCGGATGCCACTTGCTACCTTTGAACGTGATCTTTTATCGTCTTCTGCTATCCTGTCTTAAATCTTTTGTGATTTCTGACAGCACAGTTATCACACATTGTTATAATTGCTTATTAATTGAAGGTGAGAACAAAACCATCCCATGGCCCACTTTAACCCCTGTTCATATCTATTTCTAACTACTCTTAACTCTTTCTCAGCTATTGTTTCTCAAGGTCTATGAATCAACCATCAATATTCAAGCCAACATGAGTGGGAAATCTGAGCGTTCCTTGCATCCTGATGAGAGCCCTTTTTCTAAGCTAATATTAGCAAGATGGAAATCAAAGATGCACTGAGGCAAGGCACAAGCATGGACATCACTTCCTTTGGATTTTTGTAGAAAATTTGTGTCTTTGTTTCATTCCAGTATCCAACACACAAAAAAGAGATTTCATGACAGCGAGAACGACACCCACTGAAGAAACAACACTCGGGCAAACTGAACCTCGACTGAGTGTCCAACACCTGCTGTTTCTAAAGTGAATACTAAACGATTGGCCTGTATTTGAAACAAGTGATTTAGTGGTTCTGCAGTGAGCAGACGAATTTTGCAAAACCCGAGCAATAGGTTTACACATGAACATGCAGATAACAGTGAGCAAAGAGCTTTTTCTTGATAAAGAAACTTCCAAACAGCTGTTTAGGACAGATTTGAAACCCTGCTTTACATATTAGCACATATTTATTCAAAGGATACAACCATAAGTGTCAGGCTTGTGGCTAAAGATGGAAAGACAGAACAGGAGAGGTAAGCACTTTAAGTACAGACTCACTCTTCTAGCGAGATGTTAGAGTATTTCTGTGAGGAGACTGAGGATGGAGGACCAGAGGGGCTGCTGTAGTCAGGCCTGGTTGTTGTTTCCGGTGTCATCCTCCTCTCTGGGAATGATGTCTGCGGGACAATTTCCAGCACTGCCCAGCACCTAACACACACACAACAAAACCCTGTCATATTAATAAAGGGTATGTAATTTAGTGCTTGATGGTCTGTGACTTCTTAAAATTTGAATTAAATATTACAATTACACACAAAACCTAAAAGCATATATATGAAAAAACTCAGTGGTTTGTTAGCCGAGTAGTATTTCTATTACTGTGCAAGTAGCAAATGTATGCAAACCTTAAAAATGTAGGAAAACTGTTGAACAGTCCTACACACCAGCTTGGAGGACTTGTACATTTGAATTATCAGAGCACATTCAGCTCTGGGATGTTTGTTAGTTTCATCACATGAATTGCTTGTTTCAGGCTGCTGGAAGAAGGTCAGGACTTTGACTCGGGCTTTCCAAAACATCATCTTGCTTCTTTGATCATTTTTTGGTAAAACAACTTGTATGCTGATGCTTTTTTTTTTTTTTTTAACCCACTTTCTCTTAATGTTCAGTTCATGAACAGATGTTGCTTCATTCTTTATAAATTTGCAGTAATATTCTATCGATGATTACCGATGATGACCCGCCCTGGTGCAGATTAATTATAACCGTCTCAAACAGTCATAATGCGGCCACCAGGTTTTACAGATGGGATAAGCTCCCAGTTCAAACAGCCTTCTGATTCATCCTTTAGTGTTAGTAAACTTCTCATTCATGAACATGTACACAATGTGAGAAGCTGCTTAGATGTTATCCTGGGCTCCCATGTGACCTTTCACACTATTAGACACCGTGCTCTGTGAGGGAACACTGGACACTCCAGTCGGGTGAAGCAATGTTCTTCATTTCCTTCATTTGTAGCCTGTCTGTTTGACTGCTGCTGAACATCAATAAGCCTTTTTTGAGGTCCATGGAGATCTTCTTTGTTCATGATTCACTTCCTAAAACAATGTTGTGAAGCTCAGACACGGGGCTGATCCCTGATCTTTACATAAACCAGGGCACACACTCACACCTGACTGTCATCCTGCTACCTGAAAACAATAGAATAATGTAAATAATAATAATAATAATAATAATAATAATAATAATAAGAAGAAGAAGAAGAAGAAAGGTAAAAAACTTGAGAATTTTTTTCTACTAGGCTAATTATTGGAAGCATAAAATTGCTATATTATAATATTTAACACAAAACTCTTTTGATAACTGATACATTAATAGACATGTACACATTGCATATTGTGACTGGCAGTTGCATTAGTAGAGAACAGCAGCCTTGGATCTTGGAAATCTCCTAACTGTAACTGCGCGAGCGTCCAAAAGTCTGCATTCCCTGACAACGATAGCAGTCGTACTTCTAACCGTAGCTTAATTTCTATCCTTTGGAAAATGAAACCAACCCCGAGTCTGAGTTGGAAACAGAGACTTTGTATCCTCTGTAGACTTTAAAAGTAGTAGACAGCATGAATGAATGAATTAATTTCAAATTTATCACAAAGACTGATATAATTTTAATTATTGATACATATTAAGCAGTGGCGAAGCCTCATTTTAGTTGGCAGAGCAATACATCAAGAAAATGAGGTGATCTTTAAAACCTGACAAAGCCTCTCATGATATTATTCTACACACATAACAGCTAGTTATACTATTTTCATCCAACTGCTAGACAACACCGTTACTGGGTGTGTTGATAATTTACTCTCTCCAACACCACAGGCTGCTGTTGTGCTAGTTTCCCATTGCTATACTTGACAAGGGCATCTATTTCCTTGTGCATTATGTGTATAGGATCTCTCTGTGCAGCTTGTCTGCTGGGTTCTGTACTGCACAGCCTTGGAGCCGTGCCCCCTGCTGAAACTCCTGCTGCTTGATAGGTTGGGACAGAGTTTCAAAAGCATAGCTTATTCTGAAAAGAAACACAAGTTCTCGTGTGTAAATTTAGCAGTTTGTTTTATTTTAACTGGCTTCTTCCCCCCAAAGTAATTTTTTTTTAGTTATTATAAATATTAATGAAGCCATTTATTTGACAACAATGCGCCGGGATTAATTCTTTAATTGTTATAATTATAAATAATTCTTCTTTTGCTCATGTTTTAAACAAGATGACAACAAACAAACTAAAGAAAAGTCTGAAAAACTGAAATTGCCAATTTATGCTTGCTCCAAAAGCAAGTCAGTCTCCAGGAAGTCCCATGTTAAATTTTCAAGTATGCTTATAGCCCGCTGCAAAACGTTTGGTCTGTATAGCCAATTTCCCTGCTTGATGATAATTGGATAAGGGAGGAGTTGTATTATAACTCTCTTATGTTGTATTAAGGCTTGATCTGCCCACCAAACCTGGTTGTTAAAGTATTAAACATATAGAAATCCCTTGTTAATTTCTGATTGAAATAACTACGATTTACCAAAATTTTCGAAACACTTAGTTCAATTTCATTAGACAGATGCGGAGTGAGAACCATCAAACCTGTAGAATCAACAAATCACTTAAACAAAATCTGTCAGATAAAATAAAGTTTGCTAAAAGATCTAAACAAGCATCATATTAAAGCCACTGACATCTATCAGTGTGGAAAAGCCAAATCTAAGTCTTTGTGACTCCATCAAACCACAGGGAGAGTCATTATCCACAAATAGAGAAACTTGGAACAGTGGTGAACCATCCCAGGAGAGGCCAGCTCTAAGAGCATACCGATGACTCATCCAGGAGGTCACAAAAGAACATCGCTGAAAGAACTAAAGGCCTCACTTGCCTTTGTTAAGAACAGAGTTCATAATTCAACAATCAGAAAAAGTCCAGGCAAAAATGGCACCCATGGGAGATTTCCAAGGTGAAAACCACCACCGGCCAAAAAGAACAAAGGCTCGTTTCACATTTGAGCCTTTGTGTATGCGGTTTGAATCCTGCTACATCTGGCGTAAAACTAAAACTGCATTGTCTGATGTGTGCAGAATTATATAATGTTTTTTGCAGCTACCGTGTGCCACTGCATACGATTTAATCAATGTAAGCACGGTGGATTGCTGTGCAAAATAGCACTACCCTCTGGCGTGGCAATGCTGCAGATTTATGGACGTGAGTCACGCTGCCTTCAAAATGCTGCGGGGACCAAGTAAGAGAAACTTTTTATGCAGTATAAAGCTGCTGTGGACAACAGTAACAATCACTCAAATTAATATATGGATCAATATACTGGCATTCCTGATTTAACCACATTAAACATTAATATTTGATCCCTTTAAAGAAATCTACTGGTTCAGTAATGCTTAATTAAAATAGTTTATATCGGAGTCTCTACATAAAAATGGATTTCACATCACCAGCTTCTCTCAGTGCACAGAAATAAAGCTATAATATCTGCAGAAATGGGGACTGTCATCATGTGCTGGAGACTGCGTGTCGCTTAAAAAAAAAAAAATCCAAGATCAATTGTGTGACCCAAGATGAGCTAGTTACGCTAATCTGCACGGTTCAGTTCTTCGAAGCCACAAGAGAATTAGATTAGCCAAGCTGGATTCAATCATCCAAGATGACTCAGCACTCTTATGGTCACTGCCTGAGGGAAATATATCAATACTGGAAACCATCATCAGCAACACTGTGATTGGAGGAAGAATGAACGGTAAGGTTAAAAGTTAGAAGAGCTTCTAGGGGGGTTAAAGAGAGATAACAGATGTTTTACGCACGAGTAGAAATCAAAAAAAGCAACAAAAATAAAAACATGTATGAGAAGCAAAAAGGCATCAAGTTTAATGCATTAGTAATCAATACTCCTGAAATTTTCAATGTACTTTTCTACTGCAGCAGAGGAGTCATCAGAAAAGAAAACTACATTACACTTCTCAGCTTCCATGCTCTAAAAGGGCATTAAAGTCATTCGTAAAAATCAACCTTAAGAGAATAAGACTCAGAGAAACTGAATAGCATGAAATTCCAAAAGCACACAGCAATGAGACGTATTTGTGTGCAATAAAGATCTTATTTCTTAATATTCAGAACAAGTAGCGGCACACTGAGGAGCTGGGAATTCACAAAATATTTAAACAGGTGTGTTGGATTTTTCAGCAGAACTTAATGGGCCGCAGAGCGATTAATGTTCTCTGTCCTTTTAAAGCAAAAGTGAAGAGGGAAAACGAGCTTAGTGTACACACTGATAATATTAATCTCTTCCTCTGAGGACTCCAAGGATAGAGCAGAGTCGACTTCTGAGGTAAAATAAGCTCACTGGACGCTTCTGCTGTTTGTGTATCACTCATCTCATAGCGTTACGTTATTTTGTGGGTAATTGGCAGAAAATACCACACTTTCCTCCTAATATGAAAGGTAATACATTACATGTGAATGTAGTCCCTTTCAGCTGAAGCAGGACTTCTCTAAAGGACAAGGTGGAGGATCACGATGCACACTGTTTGTCCCCTTGAAATATTCCTTCCGATGCCTGTGAAGTCCTTCGCTTAATCTTGCTCTCAGGAAATTCTGACCTGATGCTGGTGTGACAACCAATCATCAAATGATTCAAAGAGCCTCTGACATAATTTGCAAGCAAATTTTGCGCAGTAGTGACGGGAGAAGGGAGATGAGATAACGCGATCCTGCTGTCGGCCAAAAATGCAAAAATGTAAGCACATTAAATTTCATTACATCAAACCAACAATGCAAAACTGTATGTCTGGTTTTTTTTAGATTTAGCATGAATTAGTAAGTGCTATTTCATCACGGCTATACATATTCTCAACGTATTTGATTATCCTTGTTGACAAAAATCTGAAGTTACCAACAGTTGTTTTTGCACAGGAAGAAAAATGTAAACATGAGGATTCTATTGCAATTCATCAAATCACCTTTTAAACTTTTACAGTTAAATGCACACAGCATTTCCCTTTGTTCTAATTAGGATATGTGATTTTACAGAAACTAAATAGAATTGCCTACATAAATTATTATTTCATTTGAATTATCAAATATATGATTGCTGTACCAACCTTTTGAATCTGTAAAGTTTGCAAATTACGTGCTGCAAATTAGGGCGTAAGATGTTACATCTGTG